AGTCTTCACACCTTTGAGACCTAGCCTCACCTTATCCTGATCCCCAGGTCTTGCCCAGGCCCTGCATGTCAAATGCATTTTAGTTCTCTCTAGAGCAGAAAGTGCTCTCGTTCTTGGGCCGTCTGAGCTCCGACCTGGCTGTCACCCAGAGGCAGAGATACTGTAGGCGGGTCCTGTTGAGAAGAGACATCTCACTTTTCCTCCTTCACTCGGTTCCTGTATGTTCTTCAGTCAAGGGGAGCGTGCTCTGCTTTGTCAAGACTTAACTGCTTCTGCCAGCCAGGAGCGCTGGAGGACAACTTTGGACTCTTAAGATTCCGAGGCTGATGCACCTGAATATTTCTTGTTCAGGTTTTAAAGTCTCTCACATTTTCTACCTGGAAGAGACTGGAAAGAGAGAGCCACTGAAGATTTGCCTTTGATATCTTGGGCAGCCGCTCTGGGTCCTAAACCTTAGATTTTCAAATGTCTAATCTGCTGTGGCAAGAGGTAAGTGACCCGCGTGTGGAAGCTCTTAGGCCTTTATACCATTTCCTTTCTGCAGAGTGTTAATATGTTGTTCAAAACATCCCCATCATCTCCACAGCCAAGCACACTCAGCACTCCTTTGGTCCCAAGTCTCACCTTCCCAGCATTCCCTTCAGTCCCAAACCTCACCTTCCCAGTCTCTCCCCTTGTACCCGCTCTTCATCTCAAAGCTGTAGTCATCAGGGTATGGCTTAGACTTTTTCTATGCCACCACCGTGGAAACAATTCCTGATACCTTAGACAGATGTGGCTGAGCTATTCAACCCAAACACCCTACTCTGAGCATCTGTTCCCAAAGACCACTTCTGGCATCCATATGCTTTTCGTCTAGGATACCCGACCCCCATCCTAAAAAAAAAAAAAAAATCAGAATTTAATTCACACAATAATTCTGCTTTTTGGTTTTGGTTTTTGTTTGTTTGTTTGTTTGTTTTTCAAGGCAGGGTTTCTCTGCGTAACAACCCTGTCTGTCCTGGAACTAGCCCTTGTAGACCAGGCTGGCCTCTAACTCACAAAGATCTCCCTGTCTCTTTCTCCCAAGTGCTGGGATTTAAGGCATGTGCCACCACTGCCCAGCAATAATTCACTTTTTTATGACAGTGTTTTATTGGCTATTGTTTGAAAAAAGAAAACGTGAAGGGGGGAGCAGAAAAGAAGTGGAAACCAAGGTGAAGTGGTGTGTTCCCAAGAAGGCCATCACTTTACCACAGAGGAAATGGGTGACTTGCTCTTCCCAGGTGCCTTGGAGAGTTCTGAGGTCTGTCATGCCTCCAAGGGCTTCTGAGGAAGCCAAAGCCTCTGAAAGCCGTTGCAGCCAGTGGCCAGGAGCTTCAGCCTTCCTTCCTGGAAGCACTGACTTTGAATTTATGGTTGTAAGAGACAACACAGAGGTGTGGGGATTCACGACCAAGTCATACCTAGTCCCTGGCATTCATCAAGTACTTATTAAATAGTAAGTATTAGCATTATAATAATTGTTGAGTTCTGTGGCATGACTGTTGCAAGCATGACTTGAATGGCTGGAGCAACTCCTACCTTGTCTAAGCCTTGGTAAACACCATCTTGCTGAAATGGCAGTCAGATATGCAGCTGATGAGATCTGACTGGTTCAGCAATGTGCAGGCCATGGTCAGGGTGGGCCAGCCACACAGCAAATGGTTTCAGCATCTCCACCTGATGGTGATCCCATCCAGGTAGCATACAACCAGGCAACAGTGAGTGGCTACTAATGATTCCTTACGTTATCTATCCATCTTTAAACCTTTTAAATATTTGACTGTTCTCTGAAAGCCATGAAGAAAGTAACTTGATATTAGTTTTGTTTTATAAATGACAGCCCTGTGGCTGAAGGAGAGTTTACCCAATCACGGGTTTCTAGATTCGCCTCTGAAACCAGGCAGAGAGGAACTCAAATGTCAAATATAAGAATAATGATATTTTCTTTGGGAAATTTGCTACATTATCCTTTGAGTTTGCTTAGCCATAAGGAAATATCTTTCACTTGATGAATAATTCAAATCCAAGTCCCGTTGCTATGGAAAGGGAGTAGCTATCTTTGCCAATTGTTTTTTATGAGGCGCTCAGCTCCACAGACATAATGTTTACCTCTCTTGAGGGAGCAACAGCTCTTGACAAGAGGAAATATGATTTCAGCAAAAATCCCAGTTCTCTGTGCTTGTTAAAAGTTGCTTCAGTATTCTGTGTTGCTTCTTGCTTCAAACACATGGGAAAGATTTTTATTCTCAAGGGTAACCTGGTGGCAGATGCAACAGATGCCAACCTTGAGAAGGAGACAAAGAGAATTTTGAGCCTTGAAAAAAAACCTATGTGACTTCTGCTTTTTCTAGAATCCGATCAAAGTTGTTTGGTCTAGTGAAAATACAAGCTGTGGGGAAAATGGCTCCCTGGAAATCTCCCAACACTTGCTCTTCTGTTATGTGTGAGCATCTGCTTGTAGGGATCCAGCTCAACTGTAGCCATCTTGGCAGGAACTGCCATCTTTCCTGCCAGCTGACTCTGGCATACGCTCCAAACTCTATGAGACAAAGTCAAAAAGGCTGTGCCTGCTGTGCCAGCCATGATGTCAAGACTCTTTGTTTCTTATTTTACAGTGTTTTATGTATTATCGTGTATATGGGGTGTGTAAGAGAGATCACACACGTGCCACGGAAGAAGTGCAGAGGCCAGAGGACATTTTTTTTTTTTGGAGTCAGGTCTCTCTTTTCAGCTTTACGTGGGTTCCAGAAATTGAACTCTTGTCATCGGGCCTTTGAGGCAAGTGCTTTTACCCACTGAATCATGTTGTTAGCCCATGGACTGTTTCTTGACTGATAATAGACACACAAATAGCCTCTGAGAAAGGACAGTCACATTCTGATAGACCGGTGTATGTCTTTGTCTCACTCTAACCCGTCCTCCTCTTTTGGAGGACATAGGCCATAGACGGAGCTGCAGGCAGGCCCGCTTTTTATCCCACCCAACTCCTGCACGGCTAGCTTAGCCCTGGAAATAACAACACACAAATTGTATTCTTTTAAACACTGCCTGGCCCATTATATCTAGCCTCTTCTTGGCTAACTCTCACATCTCGACTAACCCATTTCTAATAATCTGTGTAGCACCACGAGGCAGTAGCTTATCAGGAAGGATTCTAGCCTACGTCCATCTTAGGCAGGAGCTTCATCGTGTCTGGCTCCATGGCATCTGACCTCACTTTCTTTCTTCCCAGCATTCTGTTCTGTCTACTCCACCCACCTAAGGGCTACCTATCAAATGGGCCAAGGCAATTTCTTTATTAACCAATGAAATCAACACAAACAGAAGACCCTTCCACATCAACAGGCCCTCATGTTTCACTGTCAATCAGAACATTTATCTCTAATAAAGTGTGCTCTGTACAATCCTGGACACATCTATTTTCATAGATTTCATTACCTCCACCTCCAGCAGCCAGGCTCTCATCTGCTGGGATGGGCTGTTCCAAATAACTGCTATTAGCACTGGAGCCATTGGATGACCTTGTTCCCAATGCTCTTGAGTCACCTTCATTGCGTAAAGGTGTATATGACTCCATCAATTCTGAACTTTAGACTTATACCTTAACCATAGCGCAGGACTTTCCGTCTATACCCCCTCAGCAGGGTCCAGTCCAACCTAATCCATCCTCTTATCCTGCCCTTCAGAGTCTAACTAGAAGAGAGTTGGGCATATGCAAGGCATGAGACCAGGTACCCCTGGAGAGAAATATAATACACTTACAGCAGCTATATGAAGAAAGTATTCACTTTCATCCACCTGACCTATTAGAAAAAAATACCTTAGACCAAGTGGATTCTAAGCAATAGAAATTTATTCCTTTCATTTCTGAAGACTGGGAAAAGATCCAAATCAAACCGTAGAGACTTGGTGTTTGAAAACCCGCTTCCACACACGGGCCCATCACTCATGATGACCTCAGCAGGCTCAAGGGCAAGTGATCTCCGGTTCTTTCATTGGTGTGTGGATCCATTTGTGAAAGCTCCACCCTCATGACCTAGCCACACCCTAAGATCTCACCTCTAATACTAACACCTTTGGGGACAGGATTTCAATGTATGAATGAGGGCGGGGTACAAGCATTCAGATTCTAGCAGTGTTAAACTTTAGGTCGGGAGATACAAAAGATGATGAAGCCAGGGGAAAGGGACCTAGTGTTCATTATATGTCCCCAAGTGTCAGTGAAAACGCTGCATCTTCCACAGTAAGCCTTTTATGATTCTGTAGGTATTTTCATTGGGGGGGGGGATTGTATCTTGGAGGGTCACTGCTGTGGGATAATGTTCTTGTATCCTGTAAGGATGTGTCCCTCATATTGGTTTAATAAAGTGTTGATTGGCCAGTAGCCAGGCAGAAAGTATAGGTGGGGTGACCAGACTAGGAGAATTCTGGGAAGAGGAAACGCTCAGTATGCAGTCACTAGCCAGACGGAGAGGAAGCAGGATAAGAATGCCTCACTGAGTAAGGTACCAAGCCATGCAGCTAAACATAGGTAAGAATTATGGGTTAATTTAAGATGTAACAGCTAGCTAGAAATATGTCTGAGCCACTGGCCAAACAGCGTTGTAATTAATATAGTTTCTGTGTGATTATTCAGGTCTGGGTGACTGGGAAACCAAAAGGGTCTCTGTTTACAGGTCACTTAAGAGGAAAGGATAGATTTTTAAGGAAACTCATAGATCTGTGTGGCGACTGAATGACCACATACATGGGTAGGTAGCATGAGGCAGTGTAAGAAGGGGGCAGTGAAAGATAGACTTTGATTGGCAAGGTGGAGCAATGGGTAGAGACACTGGCACACAGGCTGAAGACCTGAGACCAACCTCCAGATTCCACAAGGTGGCAGAACAGAACTGACTCCTGACACTTGTCCTCTGACTTCACATCCGTGCCTGCATACTTGGACAGACAGACACACACACACACATTAATTTTGAAAGTCACTCTTGGGATGGAGAGATGGGTCATTTGGTAACGTGCTTGCTATGCAAGCATGGGACTTGAACCCCTGAATCCAATCCATAGAACCCCCCACAAACGCTTCACAAAGGACTAGCTACTTTGACGTCCTTTGTGCCCTCTAGCCTATCAGTGAATCAACTGTCTTTTCGATTTTTACTGAAATGACCCAAACACGCTGCAATTTCTCGGACAGCCAACCTCTCTGTGACCCAGGGCCGATCTGTGTAACTCTGTTGAATCATGGCTGCTTGTGGCACTGCCTCTGCCGCTCGCCAACACTGGACAGCTCCTGGATTTTGCAGCATAGCCCTGGCACCAGACGGTAAGTGTAGCAGACTCTCTTTTGTGTCTGGTTTTGGTTTTCCTTTGGTTATTTAAGACAAGGTCTCCCTAGGTAGCGCTGGCTGTTCTGAGATTTGTCACTTTGTAGACCAATCTGGCCTTGAACTCAGGGAGAGCCGTGACACGTGTCACCACGCCTGGCTTCTTACTGAGGGGTTGAAACCGAGAGCGGTGAGGTTGCTGTAACTGTTAAGCAGTGCTGGTGGAAGTGTCTCCTTATCCATTTCTGCTCGGAGGAGTCCTCGCAGGATCTAACTCGGGACAACAGGCAAGCATTTGCACAGCGTAAGCACAGACAGCTGGCACTGAAGGGGAATGGCAAACGAAGGAAAGGACTTTAAAAATGCATCATCCTTAGAGTTTAGACAGAGAGGGCTTGGCGGGTAAGTTGTGTACTGTTCCCCCAGAGGACCTGAGCTCATTTCCAAGCACCCACATGGGGTGGCACAGCTACCTGTAACTCCAGCTCCAGGGGGTCCCACACCTCTGGCCGCCTCTGGCCCCGACACACAAACACACAGACACACATGTATAATTTAAAAATAAAATAAATTCTTTATTTAAAAAAAAAAAAACGTTTTATGTACAGGGACCATTTCTGCTGCCGTATGAAGATGGCAAGGAGTTTTTCAAGTTTACAAATCTCTGACAACACAGAAAAGCTATCATTAAACATTCATACGCGCTTCACATAGAACTTCAGAGACCTAGCTCCGCACCTCCATCTCTGCCCAAGGACACATCATAGACTACAGCACTTTTACGAAACGCTTTTGGATTTTTTGGTGTTTCTGAAACCGTCTCCTCGCTCTGCAGCCCAGGCTGAGGCAATCCTCCTTAGCTGTGGATTTAGTTATGAGATTACCATCCCAGAATTAAATCTAAGCATCTTCGTTTGTTTCCCTCACTCCCCCCACTCCAGGCCGAGCCAGGGATTGAACCTGGATCTTGGCTCTTACCACATTTACAATGTTTTCCCCGTTAGCTGCATTCTTACCATAATTTGTCAGGGGGGAGGGGGAGCTTGGCTTATGAGGCGATTTCTTTCTGGTATGTGGCACTCCAGTGGAAAGGTGGGTGCTGATTTTTATACAGGGCCACAGTGAGCCCAGAACTTTGACTTGGTGGATTTTAGTGTGGGCCTTGTAGAATTCGAAGCGTAAGTATGTGTCTGGCAACACAAACCCGTTCTATAAGAACTGTCATGGAAATGCCCCTCCCCTGGCTCATACACAGACAGGGTTGCTATAGAGGTCACAGCACTTAGCGAGACTCAGGGCGCTGAACTCCTTGTCTTCCCAGGGACCCGAGAAAGAAGGCGTATTGGTGCCGTTCAGCGACGTACTGAAACGATAAAGCCAGGGAGATGCGCATGCGTCAGACACAAACAACAAGTCCTCTATCAACAAGTTTTACCAAGTAGCTGAGAACAGAACTCCAAACCTGGGAGCGGGTCTGTCGGCCACAGCCGGGAAATGATAGCCACTTAAATGTATTTTCCTACTCGTGCTTTAGTTAATGACAGCACAGAACCCTGTCAGTGTCTGCCCCGTGGCCAGCTCCCGACCTCAGTCCAGTTAGAAATAGCATTTCCAAACAGCTGAGACAGATGTTATCAATGATGTAGAGTTGAATTTAATAAAAAAATAAGCTGATAACCTAAGGCCACTTTCCTCTTGAGGAAGAAAAACTGCTTACATTTCATTGGTATAGCTTAATTAGGCAAAGATATTTTTCTTTTAAATTTCTTTGGCTTTTATTTTATTCAAATTGAAATAGAATTACATCTATTTCCTCCTCCAACCTCTCCCAGCTACACTTCCTCAAGCCACGCCCAATATTCTCCTCACTCTCAAGTGAATATTCTCTTTTTCTTCAATTATTGTCACTACATACATACGTACATATGCATGTATAGGTATATATATATATATATGAAATATATATGTAGTTAGCTAGTTTTTTCAAATCCTGTCTATGTGTGGGTACATGCCAGGGAGCAGGTGCCTGCAGGTGTGGGTACGTGCCAGGGAGCAGGTGCCTGCAGGTGTGGGTACGTGCCAGGGAGCAGGTGCCTGCAGGTGTGGGTACGTGCCAGGGAGCAGATGCCTGCAGGTGTGGATACATGCGTGGGACCAGGTGCCTGCAGAGGACTGAAGCATGAGACCCTTCTGGAGCTGGAGTTGCAGCTGACTGGAAACCACCCAATGTGTGTGCTGGAAATAGAACTGGGGTCCTGAGCAAGAGCAGCCCGCTAACTGCTGAACCACCTCCTCTGGCCTCAGAAACATTTCTCTCCGGTTCTAGTTGCTCATGACTCTTAGAACGTGGCTTAGAAAATCCACTGAGAACAAACACGCCAGGCTAAAATCTATCCAGCTTAGAAATTCCTCTTTAATAATACACAACACTGGTGAGTCGTTTACTTTATTTCTTGGCCTGTTACACAGCTCTCATCTGAATACCCCACAGTGATCACTCGCAGACCTCCTAAGCAGACTCCAGTTCCGGTTTCTCCCCTGAGTGCCAGATTCCAGCTGACTTGTGAGCGACTTCATACGGTGTTCACACAGGAACCTCCGAATGAACGTATCCAGGACTGGAGGAGGCTTGGCTTCCTAAAGTTCTCCCCAGTCCCTACAGACCTCTACCAGCACACAACTTCGGCTTTGACAATGTCAAATATTATAATTTCTCCCACCTTCCTTTCATGTATCCCAAACTAATTCCTTTGTCTCGATGGCAGGTCTTTTTCAAATTCTAGACTGCAGTAAATGAGATCATCTTTATACTATCTAAACCTGAGGTCATCTTGCAATTTTAAATTTGTCATCTCTTGGTCTTTCTTTTTCTTTTTGTTTTTTTGTTTGTTTGTTTGATTGATTGGTTTTTTGAGACAGCGTTTCTCTGTATAACAACACGGCCCTCCTGGAACTCCCTTTGTAGACAGGGCTGGCCTCAAACTCACAGAGATTCACCTGCATCTGCCTCCCGAGTACTGAGATTAAAGGTGTGTGCCACTAAACTTAATGGTCCATTTCTATTGGGAAAAAAAAAAAAAAAAAACCTTCGAGTTTTACCAAGTAGGACTATTGCAAAATCATCACCTAGAAACTATCTAATTTCAGTCACAACAAATACAGTAACTTCCTAAGAGAGGAGCCACACTTCTTTCCCTCCCCTACACACCACTGATAAACAGAACCTGTCACGCACAGTAGGGCCACTACTGAAGATAATAAAAGAGTACAGACGGAGGCCACACTAACTTTCGTGTTGTGTCTCATATACTCCATACAGCTTCCACGGGACTGTACCCAAGACCTCTCATCTCCCCAAATCCAGAAGCTTCCTTCACGGGAAGAGAGGAGATAGGAGGAGGGAGCAGGAGCTACGGTGTTCGCCTACCTGTGGAAAAGCTCTCTGCAGCACACGTAGGTCTCGTAGGTTCTGTTGGTGAAACTTGTGCTTAGGAATGAGACACAGTCAGCTTCAGCTCCCCTGGGGACGTAGAGGATTCCTGAATGAAGGAGATAGAAATTACGTGAAATTATGTAATAGAGGAAGACTTGGCATAGGGCTCCCAAAGTTCTTTCTCATTTGGTTGGGAGTTGGTAACACTGTAACTTAGGTGTCTGTGGGATGGGTGGTTGGTTAAGTGATTGTTCTGAGAGAGACGCTGTGATCTCTGCCAGAGACAGCGCTTAGGCACCTACCTGCCATGCAGGCACTGATAAAGGAAACACAAGCACCCGTGAAGAGGGCTCTGACCACAATCTTGCACAAGTCACTCTTCCGCTGGGGTATCATCGATGCTATAGGCAACAAAAGAAAGTAATTGGATGTCTTCCCCATACAACAAGGAGGGGTAGCCCATGGGTCCCCATTCAGAAGAATGAAAGGAAAAAATAACACAACCCATCAGATGAACACCTTCCTTATACCAACCACCTATGGCTGCTAAGGCTGCCATAAGAGGTGTGTACATATGTTAGTTATTTATCAACTTGTACTTTTCCTGGGTCAAGGACTGTATATCTGACCCTCACCTCAGTGGTTCTGGAATCTACGCAAGATATATCTGACTTAAGCAAGGCTCTGAGCAGCTCCAAGTGGGTGGATGCCTGGCATTTGCCAGTTGAGAGCCACACTCTTAAGTCTGGACTGGAATTAGATGGGCTGTTGTGAACCAGAGGACTAGAGAGGGCAGCGTCCGTCTTATCCCGGCCTCTAGAACCACAGCTAGAAAATCACAGTAGCTGAAGTAACCAGTGTGGACAGGCGTTTAGAAGAAGAGGGAAGATCAACCAAAAGGAAACTGTTTCACCTAATCAACTAGCAATGAAATAAATTTAATAATTCCACCCGAGAATGTGATTGCCAGAAGTGGTGGTTTTCACACATTCTTTACATATTCTATTTCTTCTAAGACTCATTTCTAACTTGTCTCTCCCGAGTGCTTGGGATTCTGTTAGACGCTCCCCACTCTGCCCTCCAGGACCACTCCCTGTCACAACCCAAGGTCAGCAACCTCTCCTCTCCAGCGATCGAACTGAGTCCCCTACACTCCAGGACTCTCGGCTTTTAGCCCGACAATGTATAATACTCACTTGTTCTGTTTATTTAGGGGTTTTTTGTCTCCTTTCATTTCTTTTTTTTTTTCATTTTTGATTCCTATACAAATGCTGCTTTTGTGAAAAAATAAAACTATTGAGTAGCTTAATTTCAGAAAGTACCTTTGGCAGTTGGTAAGATAGAAATGTCATTTTAATAACTTCTCCCTTGTAAGGAAAATAAAAAATAAGCCCTTTTGTGCCTTAGCGGGAAGACAGGGGGCATTCAGTCTGACTGTACGAGCTCTGAGTTCTGCATGGCCTAAGAGACCCCGCTTTGTGTCAGCTTCTCTATCTTGCCTCGACTTTGCAGGGAACAAAGGTTGGGATCTATCTGACCTACTGAGGATCTGGGAGAATTTAACAACTCACTCAGGCCTCCCAGTGTGATTCCTATGGAACTAAGATTGGCAAATCCACAGAGCGAAAATGTTGCAATAATTTCAGCTTTCACCTAGGAGGAAAAAAAAAAACAAGTAGATAAATTCAGTCTTGCTGTGTCTCACAACCACGGTAGAAGTTTCAGGGCACACCAACTCTTTCTTGTAGTGTTCTAAAGGTCCATACGAGATGCTCAGAAAACAACGACCCCCGAGTTACAACAGCTGCCGTGATATGGTAATACCACAAGACTCCTTGCCCAGCACTGCTGTTATTAAACATAAAGAGAAAATTACCTAGGGACCCAAGCAGGTGTGAAGAAGACAATTCACAACAATTTGACTGTGCACATAAAGGGACTTCAGAACATCCAAGCAGTGTGCTCCTTGGACTGTCCCAGTGTAAGGAAGCACCAGTCATCTTCTAGACCAAACTTGGGCCAGAATGCAGAGGAGAAATGACCCAGAGGCTCAGTGCTGAGACTGCTGGTCTTGGGGTTAAGCTGGGACACTGGGAAATACCTGGGGCCACCAACATCTGTGTGGAACGCTGCTGGGCTTTCCCTCAGATATGCGTGACCCAAACCTCTCTGTGACTTCTCTGGATCATCACTTACAGAAATCCACTGTTTCTCGCCGTTGATCCACTCTTCCACCCCAGAGAGACGCTTGCTCTTGTATTGAGACAGTTGTTGATAGGCCACAAATTCATTTATGAAGAACTTGACTCCCACTATTTCAGCCACCAGTGGACAGTCTGCCCACTCCACACCCATCATGAAAACCATGGGCCGAAGGACATAGGAACAGATGACCTGAGTGAGAGGGAAATGCCCCAGGGGAAGAAGAGCAGACAAGGGTCAGAGGCCAGGAGCCTTACTGGACACTTAGCCCTGCTCTCCCTACACCTCCCTCTTCTGCTCTGCCTTTCTCTTAGCTTGCGTGGATCAGGGGGAAAAAATGGCCAACACATATAAGGCTTACCTGGAAATTGAGTCCGTGTATGTCCACCATTTCGCCCAGCCAGGAAAGAGTTGCATTGATGAAGGCCAACACAGCCAAAAAGGCAATCAGGTTGGCTGCAACGTTAGCAACAAGGCCTATGGCGTCTGTGGCTCCATTGCTCGCAGCTTCCAGGATATTCCTCTCTTCCCTGTGGTTATTGGGCATAAAGTATATGCTACCTCAGCTCCTCAGAGAAAAGAAGCACCATGGCCTCTGAGGTGTGAGAGATGATGCCGTCAGTCCCTTAGTGATTCCAAGAGTGGAGATTACTCTGAAGTGACTGAGGTGTTTGAGATGTTATTGCAGGACGGCCTGATGCCAAGGGCATGGAGTGATTGTCTCAGGAGTTAAGGCCAGGTGGGAAGGTTAAATCGAAACAACACAGAAATGATTAGCTGATGTCAAGATAGCAAAGGGAGGCACAGAATGGCATTCTTCCTTCAGGGAAACTGGAAGTCTCTACCATCACAGGACCTCTCTAGGTAGCCCACCTTACCATCTCCCAAATCAGACACTTGCCCTGACTCACCCACGGGGCAGCTTCACTCCCTCCTTGCTCTTGAACTTGGACTCTTCCACTTCTGGATATACCAGTTTGGACAAGGCAAGCGCACAAGGGGCAGCCATCACTGAGGCAGAAATCAAGGAGGATGCATCTATCTGTAAGGCCAGGTGGGGGATTAGCATGACCCGAGGGCTCAACTGGGGAGCACCAGGAGTGATTAAGGGGACTGTGCCTCACCCCAAAGGATATGAAGGCTCCCAGCACAGTGCCTGCTATGGTAGCAAAGCCTCCGGTCATCACTGCATGGATTTCAGAGAGGGTCATGTCTGCAAGGTAGGGACGGATGAGCAGAGGTGCCTCCGTCTGAAACCAAAGAGAAACAGTCACATTACCAAGAGCCACATACCCGATATCAAAGAGCTCATCCCAGGCACGGAGTGGACCCATCCGGTGCACACCCTTCCAGCCAGTGGACCAAAGCTGTGCCCTGAGGCTTCAGGGCGGCCCAACCAACTTCTTGCTGGCTGTGTTTTCACTGTTTCTAGAACACGTTATAAGATACTGTAGACACCAGTATTCCTTTATTTTGTTTACCATGTCTAAAGTGAATTATGGCGTACAGTGCACTTACTGACCACACACATGACAAAACATGCATTAAATGAACTGAAAATAACTTATCTAAGCAATGCCTTATGAAATAATATCAGGCGCCCAAGAAAACTCATCCTGAGAAACTGAGTTCCATATCTAGAATCCACATGGTAGAAAAAGAGAACTGATTGCCACGAGTTGTCCTCCGACCTCTGCATGAGTTCCATGGAACATGAATGCTCACACACACACACACACACACACACACACACACACACTCACACACACACACACTGTCATTAAATAAATATAATACATTTTTAAACTAGGAAATTACCTAGCCTCAATCTAGGATGTCATTTATCCTTTAATGAGTGACGACCAAAGGACCTAGTCACTAAGACCATTAGTGCAAAGCTGATTGTAGATAATTAGAGCAAAAATAGAAGGCTATGATAGAAGAATCAGAAGTCCCCTGAAAACGTATCAAAAGCAGATAATCAGACTAAGGCTTTGGAAGAAAAAGACCTCAATGTTAACTTCTTGCCCATTTGAACAACAATTGTCCCTAATGTTGATTTGGTCAGCAGCGGGTATTTTAGCCCTGTAATGGCTAATACTGGTTATCAACAATTGATAGACTCTTCCAGGAGACGAGACTCTAGGAATGCCTTGCGGATTACCTTGATTGGGTCATCCTGTGTGGCGCACGCCTTTAATCCCAGCACTCGGGAGGCAGAGGCAGGCAGATCTCTGTGAGTTCGAGTCCAGCCTGGTCTACAGAGCTAGTTCCAGGACAGGCTCCAAAACCACAGAGAAACCCTGTCTCGAAAAAAACAAAAAAAAAAAAAAAAGAAAAAGAAACTGTTTTAACGGGGTTAACCGACGTGGGAAGCCCCACTCTAACAGTGGGTAGTACCATTCCTAGGCTTCTGGATGGCATGAACAAGAAAGCTATCTGAGCACAAACATCAGTCTCTGCTTCCTGACTAGATGCAACGTAATCAGCTGCCTTGAGTTCCGGTCACCAAGATCTTCCCAACAAGATCTTCCTCTCAAACCGTCAGGCAGAAATAAGTCATTTCTCTCAATATGTTGTTTTTTTTTCCAGCATATTTTATCACAGCAATAGGGGAAGTACACCTATTCCACACAAACACCACTCTTATTTCATGTTGTGGGATATTTGTACACTGTGTGAAGATGTATTTGCTGAGATTTGTTTAATAAAGAGCTGAACAGCCAATAGCTAGGCAGGAGGTATAAGGCAGAACTTTCAGGCAGAGAAAGAGAAAGAGAGAGAGAGAGAGAGAGAGAGAGAGAGAGAGAGAGAGAAGGAAGAATCTAGGTGCGAGAGAGAGACACAAGGAGACACAGAAGAAGCAGACTGTGTGGTACGTGACAAAATATATATTAATAAAAATGGGTTAATTTAAGTGATAAGAGCCAGGTGGTGGTGCACACCTTTAATCCCAGCACTCTAGTGACAGAGGAAAGTAGGTGAGTTCAAGGCCACCGTAATCTACAAGAGTTAGTCCCAGGACAGCTAAGGCCGCCACACAGAGAAACCCTATCTCAAAAAAAAAAAAAAAAAAAAAAAAAAAAAAAAAAATAGACAAAACAAAACAAAACAAACAAAAAAGAGCTAGTTAAAAGCAAGCCTAAGCTAAGGCCGCGCTTTCATAATTAATAATAAGTCTCTGTGTCGTTATTTGGGGCTGATAGTGCAGAGAAAGACTTATTAAAATTCCACACAGACGGATGCACTAAGAAAGTCCTGTGGAAAAGAGCCCGAATTGTCCTGATCAAGACAAGCCATTGCCTCCTCAGAGACCTCTGAAACAGCGATCACAGGGAGTTACATCAAGAAACCAGAAAGCAGCTCAAACATCCTTCATTGCTCCCAAAGTCCCAGGATAAGTTATGGGTGAAGATTTTCACTTATATTCCTGTGTAAGAAGCTGGACCAGTGACTCAGCACCTTCTAGAGAGTGTGTTCAGACTGCGTATTAGGCATCAGGGCTGAAAGTACTGAACTACGTTCTCCTCGACCCTCTGAGGTTTCTTCCACAGGGGACCAAATGCTTTACAATCTTCATTTCTTGGACTTCGCATGTCTTTCAAGCTGTGTGGTGACACGTGCTTATACTCCCAGCACCTGGGTGGCGGAGGCAGGGGGGGGGGGGGATCAGGAATTCAAGGCCATCCTCAACTACACAGTGACTATGAGGTCAGCCTGGGCTACATTGAGATTCTGTTTCAGATAAAAAGAAAGGAAGGAGGCGGGGAGTGGAGAAGGGAAAAGCCTCTTTTTTCTGAATTTGTTTTCTGCCAAGTTCTCAGTTCTCGACAGGAAAGGAAAACAGAAGGCCCCAAGGTACTCACCATTCCCACAAAGATGTTTCCTGCCACAGCCAGGGTCTCGGCAGCAGTGGTGCCCATGGTGACTTGCAGAAACCAGGCAATCTAGAAGAATCCAGACTCCTAAATCATCCATCTACAGTAGGAGGAACCTTGGCTAATGTCCAGCAGAGCCCCTCCCCCTACTCCATTCCCTCATAAGGAACCCGGGAGCTAGGGAAATAGTGTGGCGGAATGACAGAACAAGGTCCTTCCATGGACTTACCTTCTGAACCACCCATTGCACGAGGCCCAGGTAGTAAAGAATAGACATCACGCATCCGAAGAAGATAATGATTGGCAAAGACTGCAGAGAGAATGGTGGAAGCAGATGAGAGATTATACAACATGTGCTATGCGTGTCACAAGCAAGCTCTTCTACGCCTCTGGGCATTCCCAGGGCATCTGATGCAAGGTGGCTTAGGAATAAACTCAAACTGTACTGCAAACCTGTAAGCCTATCTATCAGCACGAAACCTTAGGATATCCCATTTCCTGAACTTCTCCCTAACCTGCCTTTCAATCAACATGATCCCTGGTACGGTTCATAGGGAAAGAGTGGGCTCCCTTACAGGGTCAAATTGGGAAAGAGACTATCTGACCTCATGGAAACATGTATCAGCCTTTGCTTTACCCCCATCCTTAAACTGGCATTTGCATTCCTGCACACAAAATAGATATTACCTGAAAAGCAAAAACGTTTTGGACCAGGGCATCACCGAAAACAAAACTGGAGCCTTCCACAGTATAAGCCAGGAAAATCTGAAGTGGCGGGAATAAGAGAGTTAGGACAGGCAGGACACAGAGAACGCTGTGATCTGCCTCAGGTGTGACCCCCCCCCCCCGTGGGCAGGGCATGTCCCAAGAGTTGGTCATGAAATGACAGACTCAGCAAGTCTTCACTTGTATCCTCACCTGAACCCCATCACACTCTCTCTTTACCCAACCAGATTCCCCAACACCGCCATGAAGACAGAGCCCGACAGCCTCCTGCTCCCCTCAAATCTACATTCTCTGGGTTCCATTCAATTCCCTGTACCTGGATCTGATCTCCTAGCCACTGAAATGCATTAAATCCAGGTTCAGTTCTGATGACCAAAATCCCAAAGATGAACTGAAGGCCCAGGCCCCAAAACACAGTCCTCCAGCATACCTGGTATGAGGAAGAAAATAGCCCAGCATGAGTTCCAAACCTTTACTTGTTCATTGCCTGGTTCAACTGTGTCCTGTGAGTGGAGCTAGGTGAGGGTGCTAACACGGCTGTGCTGGCTAGCTTTATGGCACAAACTAAAGTCATCCAAGGGGAAGGAACCTCAACTGTGAAACCGCCTCCACAAGACTGGGCTGTAGGAAGTCTGTAGGGCACAGCCCGTTGCGGGTAGTGCCATTACTGGGCAGGTGGTTCTAGGTTCTGTAAGAAAGCAAACTGAGCAACCCTTGGGAAGCAAGCCAGTAAGCAGCACCCCTCCATGGCCTCTGCATCAGCTCCTGCGTCCAGGTTCCTGCCTTGTGTGAGCTCCTGTCCTGACTTCTTTCAATGATGAACAATGATGTGGAAGAGTAAGTCAAATGAACCCTTTCCTCCCCAAGCTGCTTTTGGTCATGGTGTTTCATCACAGAAATAGTACCCCAAGACAATGGCATAGGGAACAGGGAGACCGGTAAGAACAAATAGGTGACTTGTGCAAAATGACAATATGCCTATACAGATTTTAAAAATAAATTACATGATATTTATGGCACACGTATCTAATAACTTCCACAAATGTCATTATTGCACAGTGCCACATGATTCCCTGTCATATTTTCTTTTCTTTCTTTCCTTCTTTATATTTTCTTTTATTTTTCTCTAGTGCTGGCTAGATCCATATATACCACAATAACAATCGACAAGCCTAGAGTCTCTAAGAGTGTCCCAACTTCTCTTAGGAATAAGACTGTCAGAGGAAAATTCCAGGAGTTGTTACTTGGTTCTAGGCCTTCATCATGACTACCTGACACATACCTTTTGTCATTTCTACCAGCCCTTGTTGTTGCTATGCCCACCCAAGGACCCCCCAACTCACCGCGCTGTGGTGTTTGGAGCAGACAAAGAGGACGAGGATGAACATACAGATTCCTGCAAAGGAGATCAGCTGCTCGGGCCTTTGAGCCGTGTCGAGAGCCAGCCACAGGATAAGGCCGACCACAGAGGCTCCTATGAACACCCTGAAGGCGGAACGCCAGAGCTATGTCACCAACTCAGTGAACGAGCAACCAAGAACCCTCTGACAGACAGGAAGCTTGGTCTGAGGGTCAGTGAGATAACTCAACAGCTTACTCTTGATTAGACAGAGAAGGACCTTGAGAATCATCTGGTAGTTACCTAACTTCTGCTCGCTCCTAATTTATGGAAGTAAGTGTCTAATCTAATTAGACCGATCACATGACTTCTCCTTTCTCATATAGCCATATCAATAAAATTTAATATAAAGGTTCATCCCTGAAGATGCTTCCAACGACTAATCAAAACACTGAAAACAGAAAGAGAATACACTGGTCCCGTATGATGGCTACTCAATTTTTAACCACTCCAAGGGTGAGAATTAAATAAGCCATGTATGGATGTATGATCTTTACATGCACCAAACATATTTCAGTACATAGACTGAAGGCTTGGGCTGTAGCTTAGCAGAACACTTGCCTAGAATGTGCAAGACTCTGGATCCGATCCCCAGCCAACCACAATAAATAAGGATCCAGTCATGGTAGTGCAAGCCTTAGGGAGTAGAGGCACGAGGATTAAGGTTTTAAGATTGGGATTGGAGAATTGGCTCAGCAGCCAAGAATAATTGCTCTTGCAGAGGACTCAGGTTCGATTCCCACACCCACATGGTGGCTCACTAACAACCATTTGTAACCCCAGTCCCAAGGGATCATCTGATGCCCTCCTCTGAACACGGTGATCACCAGGCACATGTGGTGCATATGTATGCATTCAGGCAAAACACTCATAAAGTAAAACTGAAAGAGATTAAAGTCCTCCTCAGCCTCACAGTGTGGAGCCAACCTGGCTTATATTACATCCCCTTTCTCAAAGACAAACAAGCACAGAAACAAACAAAGCAACAGACAAATTTCCGAAAACCTAAGTGAAGAGAATTAGAAAGGAGATCACAGATGAAAAGAAATAAAAAGAAGTACATGACCCACTGAGACACCTCCAGCACAGTGCAGCAAAGAACTACAGAACCGGACAGAAATTCACGGCTCTTTCCTACACGCCTCCCTCAAAGTGAATAAAGTTGGCTTCCAAAAGCTTATTTAATGAATAAACCCATGTTGGCTTCTCCTCCCACACGCTGTCAAATAAATCAGTGATACAAAACTTCAATGGTTATCTGTTCTTTCTCCAAATTATCACCGTTGAGCACCATTTTCTGTGCATTCGTTGGAGAGGGGGAAAAGAGAAACTTTCTGGACAGTCTGGCTACGGTTAACACAGATAGAGAAACTTTCTGGACAGTCTGGCTACGGTTAACACAGATAGAGAAACTTTCTGGACAGTCTGGCCTGCGGTTAACACAGATGGACATGGCATAGACAGACTGGCTATAGCTACTTCAGAACCCAGTTCAGTTATGCTGATGATTAAGTTTGTGCCTAGATGCTAAGACAATGGTTCTCAACCTGGGGGTCATGACCCCTTTGGGGTCATATATCAGATATTTACATTGCGACTTTTAACAGAAGCAAGATTACAGTTATGAAGTAGCAAGGAAAATAATTTCATGGTTGGGGGTCACCACAGTATGAGGAGCTGCATTAAGGGGTCACAGTGTTAGGAAGGTTGAGAACCACTGAGCTAGGAGGTTGCAAACTATAAAAGCAGGTAGGGGGGCTGGAGAGATGGCTCAGTGGTTAAGAGCATTGCCTGCTCTTTCAAAGGTTCTGAATTCAATTCCCAGCAACCACATGGTGGCTCACAGCCATCTGTAATGAGATCTGGTGCCCTCTTCTGGCCTGCAGACATACAGACAGAATATTGTATAATAAATAAATAAATAAATAAATAAATAAATAAATGTCTCTGGAGTACTAGAAGGGAAGAGGATGGAGCACAGGCAAGAGAGAAGCAACTTGGCTGGTAGCTTAGCAAGCGTCTGCTCTGACCCCTCCATTAAAGACAAGTGCAGGCTTTCTCCCTTTGTCATAGGCTCCTGGGATTCCAGACTGAAACTCCTCCCTGATCTAGATGGAGTCCCATCTGTACCAGCAATACTGGCCCAAGGCTGTAAGAAACTGGGCTTTGCAGCTCTAAGGCCCGTGGCTCTGTGGTCTCTATGTTTGTCTTCGTGTAGGTGAGAGCCTGGAGCCCTCTCAGGTACTGTCAAAATGTTAAAATGCTCAATGAGGTGGCGATGATGCTCAGTTGGTAGAAGGCTTGCCTAGGATGCACAAGGCCGTGGGTTCAATCCCCAGCCCTCCATAAACTGAGTGTGTTAGTGCACGCCTGTAATCCTAGCGTTCAAGAGGTAAAGGCAAGAGGATCGGAAGTTCAAAGTCATCCTTGGCTACATAGAGAGTTCTGAGACCAGCTTGGACTAGAGACTTTGTCCCACAAAAAGAAAAAAAAAGAGAAAGGAAGAGAGGGGAAAGGAGGCAATGAGAGGGCTCCCATCTCACTGATGAGTTCATTCATCGATACATTCACAATTAAAAGGACTTCTCGAAGGGGGTGGAAGCTGTAGGAGGTGAGGCCCAATTGAAGGAAATTGGTCACTGGGGACATGTCCTCATAGGTTACACCTTGTCCCAGGTGCCTTGCCTTCCTGATCTCTTGCCTCCTGGCCTCCACGGTGTGAGCAGCTTTGGCTTCACCAGTTCACTTCCCACCATGACATTCTGCCCCGTCACCAGCCAAAATGGATGGGGCTAGGAGAGCATAGGCTAAGCCTCTGAAACTGGGAGCCAGAAGCGTCTCTCCTACACATTGTTCCTAAGTGTTCCGTGAACAGCAACGAAGGTGATTGACACACTTACCACTTCACCCAAAGCCTCAGGCGGCTGTTTTTCAAGGGCTTCAGACAGCTCATTAATTTTTTACCGAAGCTTTTCTTCAGAAAGTGGCAAGCCAGGATGAAGATGACAAGACAGGTGAGGACAAATAATGCCAGTGCCCTCTGGAAGTTCAGGATGCAAGCCGCCAGGAAGTAGGCGGCATATGCTACAGAGAGAAAGTGAAGAGTGAGAACCAAGCAAGGCTGAGCTTCCACGGAGCCCCACACCGAGCCTCTCTGCTCCCGGCGAAGACTCGCTGCCTTCTATTGTGGCTGCTGTCCTCACTCTCTCCCTTAGATTTGGCCAACAGCCACTGTTAGACTCTTTGGAAACCAGACATCTCTTGGGTTTTTATCCCCCAGATATGTTGAAATGTCAAGGGATGAACCTTTTCTCTTGAGCAAAGCCATGTAAAGGAGACTGCCTTTAGGAGGAAGAGCTACATGGCGCTTTTTAGGGGCTCCCAGATTCATCCCCAAGGATAATTTTTGCCCTCATTATCCCAGCTGCCTCTAATCAAAGCCCTACATGTTACTGACAACATACTATAAACAAGGTTTTCTGACTTTCAAAAATAATGTATAGCGCTAATTTTAATTATAAGCCAGTAAATAAGGTATGTATAACAGGCATCTTTCATAAAGATTACAGACTTGTGCCCTGATTCAAACCTAAGCACTAAAAAAATAGAATATAGAGATAGATATAGATATAGGTATAGGTATAGATAGATAAGTAGATAGATAGATAGATAGATAGATAGATAGATAGATAGATAGATAGATATCATATGTAATCTTGACACAAGTTAATGGTTCTAGAAATGTCTGTGGTTCTCCTTTCCATGAAGTGTCATGATCTCACCTAAACACAGGAGACCGAGCAGGATCTTCTTGAATAACGCAGCGTGTCTTTTAAAGAAATGTCTCGCCCTGGTGAAAGGCTGCAGCTTCCTCCTGATGAGAAACCAAGTTGAAATTTGAGAATTACTTCCTCCTGTTTGTGAGGTTCTCAGACCTCAGATAGACCATGGCAGAGTTAAGAGCTCAGCTGGCGGGTGTTCAATAGTGTTCCAACCAGGCCCCAAAGGCCACCTCAAAACTGTGTCTGTACATAGGTCAGAATGGCCCTGCTCAGCCTAGTAGCTACATCTTCGGTAATTTTCTACCACAGAAGTGAACACTAATCATGTGTTTTTCCTAGGGACAGGTATGGCTCAGCTTTCATATTCAGCCTGTCCTTCTTAGAAGCCATTCTACCATAGCACCCCAAAACCACACAAAGCCTTTGTAGTTGTGTGTACATTGGCAGACAGGAGAGAAAACAAACCAGCTTCAAGAGTCTTTATGTCGGCAGGTCTGAGAGAAGATGCCCAGCAAGAACTATTCAAGATTGCTTTGTATCATGTTTTCCAAGTGTGTGGGCTCAAAGAACTCTGCAAATCCTAACACGATTCCTCTAAGACCACCCCCCCCCCCAGGTTGTTCTTGCAACCTGAAAGCTGGGGAAGCTGAGTAAATTTCCCAAGGTCACAGAGGTCATAAGGAATAGCTCTCGAATCTCAGTAGCCTGGCTTCCAAATCTAAAGAATGCACCTTCCCTGACCCCAGGGTCACCTGCCTTTGCCATTCCTAAGGGTCCTTAGTACATTGCAGCCATGTGAGCAAAAAGATTCCACTTTCAACAAAGAAAAGGAGCCCAGCTCGAAGTGTCCTGTGCATCTATGGTGTTAAGGTGTGGTGCTCGGCCAGGGATGGAACCAGCCACTACCTAAAAGGTCTGGGGTCTTGGTGCACACAATTCTGGGTTCCTTCGCTATTGTTACCTCTTCCATCTAACATGAGATTGAAACTATCCTGCTCATTGCCCCTAAATCCTTCCTTCTTCATTTCTGCCTCTATCCTCTTACCTTCTGCAGGGAGTCCAACCACGGCTTAACTGAGCAGGGTGTACATTCTCAGGTATATCTCAGGTACAGGGAAGTCAAAGAGGGAGGCAAACTATCCTCATCAACCCTGACAGCCAGGGCGACACGGACAAACCCAGCCTCAGAAAAGAAACAAATAGATGAAGAAACCAAACAGTGAGGATGGACTATGAATGAGAAACTCCAGAGCAAACAAGAAAAGGTTTCTTTCAGCCTTTTAAACTCATCGAGCAGTTCACAGAAGCATGTGGGCAAGTGTCTGTGCACTCTGAATCTTGCCTGGCCCAGCATCTCGGTAACAGCACCAAGCTCTTTACACAATGTTCCAGTCTGAGTCTTAATATCAGTGCTATGACTAGAAACTGAACTGAGATGTTTAACCACGGGTGAGTGGACACGGATGCTCTGCCTCTGCCTCCAAGTGTCTGTTACGGGCGACTTTCCGGGCATTGACTGAAGACAACCTCCTCACATGCTTACTGCCCGCATCCCCGAGTGATACATGGGAAAGAAGCAGGTGAGCACGATCAGAAGCAGTAGCTAAACGTGGCTTTAGTGATCACCAGATCCAGCGGCAAAGACACGCATGAATTTTCTTAGTTACCTACTTGCGAGATGTAGAAACTCTCCCAGCTGAGAGAGATGGAGTCTCGGTAACTCCTAGAACCTGGAACTCTTCGTTTAGCCATTAGTGTGGGAAGTTTGAGGGAGCCTTCAGAGAATCCAGCTCCAGTGACAGAAGACAGTGTGGCCCTGCCTGAGTCTTTGCTAGTCCGGCGTGAAGGAAATGGAAGAGTTAACTCGGCATCAGTTGATGGTGTGAACGAAGAGTGAGGCTCGCCTAGCACAGGGGACCAGAGTCTTTCAAAGGTCAAAGTCCTATTTTACACCCAATTAAATATCAGTTGGATAAAGCTACTACAAAGCAAGAGTGGGCATGCATACTCTAAGAAATCAGTCCCAGGCAGAAGACTTTGTCCCTGTCTTCCTAACCACAAAGCCATCATGGGAAGAACCACTTTCCCACTTTTCCACAGTCCAAGTTCTGCACACAACTGGTTCTGAGCTCATGAGCTGCATGCTGTAGCTGCACAGGAAACTGAGTCTCCAAAACAAACAGACCTTAATTAGCCATGTGGGAAGCCAAGTACGGACTGGAAAGTCTGGGGAAAACCTGTCAGGAAAAGGCAGCATGAGGCCAGCCTGAGTGACAGAATAAGAATGTCCTGATACAGACAGACAGACTGACTGACTGACTGACTGACTGACTGGTAAGAAGAATGTATACCGTGGGTTTTCCAACCTACCCTCTTCCTCCCAGAACTCTCCTCTGTCCAAGCTGGAGGTAGCATTTGTTCTGATAGGTAATGGAGTCTTCTCAGGGAAGCTGTTCTAGCTCATGGCTATGCCCCATGTCAACTTCAGGCGGGGCCCTTGAGTGTATTTCTTTTGCAAGCAATATTATAGGTGCTATGTGGATAATTAAGGAACAAGAGGATGAGTTGCATTTACACCTACTCTCTTCCCTCAGCCTCCTGTGGGCTGGGACTCTATGCAGGCTGTTAAATGCATAAAGTGGAATCTCTTGCTGGTACAATGGTGCATGTCTGTCAACCCATTCATCGGAGGCTGAGGCAGGGGGTGAGTCCTGGTCTTACTGAGTGTGAGAATAGTCTGGGCAATATAGTAAGATCCTCTTTCTGAAAATAATTATTTTTTTCTCTTTGAGCACAGTTTAGACACGGATGTTATAAATATATTTTCTTACCTACCAAGTGAGATGGGCAGTTGGAGTACTTTTTGGTGAAGGACAAAGCAGTAAACATTTTGGTTTACAGACTTTATATTTATGTTTTAATAAAGTGTGACTGTAGACTGAGACCCCGAGCTCCTGTCTCCTTCCGCCTTATATTCCTCTCTAGTGCTGGGATTAAAGGTGTGCACCACCACTACCTGGCCTCTGTGGCTAACTAGTGTGGCTGTTGGAATTAAAGGTGTGTGTTACCACTGCCTGGCCTGGTATGGCTGACAAGTGTGGCTAACTTCGCGCTCTGATCTTCAGGCAAGCTTTACTTATTAAAACGTAAATAAAATATCACTACAATTTTCTTAGAACATGTCCATGCCCCTTTGTATATTGCTACCCGTGGCTTCCTTCTCACTAAAGTGGTAGAGGTGAGTAAATACAACAGAGACTATGAAGTCTACAAACTAAAGTGGATCTTACTGTATTGCCTAGACTGTTCTTACACTCAGGAGGCCGAGGGAAGACAGTACTGGCTGCTCTTCCAGAGGACACAGATTTGGACCCTAATATCCACAGGTGCAGGGAATTTAGTGCCCTCCTCTGGCTGCCTGGGGCACTGCACACATGTGATGGGCATACATACTGGCAGACAAAACACTTATAAATGTAAAATAAAAATGAATTGTTTAGGGGGCTGGAGAGATGGCTCAGTGGTTAAGAGCATTGCCTGCTCTTCCAGAGGTCCTGAGTTCAATTCCCAGCAACCACATGGTGGCTCACAACCATCTGTAAAGAGGTCTGGCGCCCTCTTCTGGCCTTCAGGCATACAGACAGAATATTGTATACATAATAAATAAAAAAATATTTAAAAAAAAATGAATTGTTTAGACATAGAAAAGCAGCTGGGTGTGGGGGCATACACCTTTAAGTCCAGTACTCTGGGGGCAGAGGCAGGAGGATCTCTGGGTTTGAGGCCAGCCTGGTCTACATAGTGAGTTCCAGGACAGCCAGGGCTGTTACACAGAAAACCCTGTCTCAAAATACCAAAAAAGTAGAAAAACAGAATTCATTAAAGTATAAAATATGTGTAAATGGATATGGATATTTTATATAAAAATTTGTAGAACATAGCTGCCATCTGAGCAATTTTACCCAAACTTCCCTTTGACTTTAGCTCTGACAGCAGGTCCATGTTCAGAGTCAAACATCCTTCGCCACCCATCCCTCCTCAGTGCCTGAGCACACAGCACTGCAGACTGTGGTTTCACACATCGGGCTTTTCCCACATCTCCATCTTCTTCAGCCTCCATAGAAGGGGCCTTTTGTCTCTGCTCCTGTAACTTTCTTTCTCCTCCCCTAAATCTGAGCATTCCAGAAAAGTTTTTCGGTCATGGTAGAGATGGGCGTTTTGTTTTGTTTTGGACAGGGTTCCTCTATGCAGCCTTAGCAGGTCTAGAACTTTGGTCACAAACTCACAGAAATCAGTCTACCTCTGCCTCCCAAGTACTGGGATTAAAAGCATGCACCACAAGTCCTGGCCTCAGAGAGATTTATTTTGCTTTGTTTTGCTTTAATTGATATGAGTTAGGTTTGTTCCTAAGTCTCAATTTAGACAAAAGAGTTAAAATTAGTACTTTCCTGTTATGAAAATTAAACTAATTACACAAAATTATGCATAATAATACTCAATAAATGTTAGCCACTGTTACTGTTATCATTGCTGTTGTCACTATTTTTTTTTTTAAAGTCACCTAGGCTGACACTGATGGGCTCGTCACTGTCGTGAACTGACGCTTCAGTTAGTTCTACAGAATACAAACACATACATGTGGGACCGTGCAGTGGTCCTGGTCTTGTCTGTGAGTTAGGCAGTCTGAGAGTGAATAGCTCTCATCTGTTCCGCTCACTTCTCCTCCCCATCCCCCAGGTCCTTGGTGGCTAACTACACTGGACTCTGGAACATCCTTACCCCGGGCCATCCTTCCGGCTGTGTTCCTCTGTCTCCTCAGTCTTTCTGCTTTGCTCAGGGTTCCCTCTTTCCTATAAACACAGGTACAGGTGAGGTCAGCCGTGCAGCCCCGTCGGAGAGGCAACAGATCAAGAAAGCCGCTAAAGCCATACCGCAGCCCACAGTGTGAATTACCATGAGTTCCAGCCCTGGGTTCTCGATGCCGTTCTCCGCTGTGGCCCGGGAAACAGATCCTCGTCCCCCTGCTCTCTCCATCTCAGCTGGAAAACAAACTCAGGGCTAATTTTTGGCAGATTTTTTTTTTGTTGTTCTGTCTAGATGGGGCGAGGGAGAATTTTTAAGGCCAGATCCTCTCAGAAAACACAAGACTAAAATTCTTTTAAAAAGTCAGCTGCTTCCATTAAGAATAAGGACTGGAAAGATTGGGAGCAGACTAATACAATAAATAATGAAAGGTAGAATTTGATTTCTTGTTATAAATGGTTATGGAAGAAGGGGCAAGAAGACAGAAGAGCAATTAAGGGCAGGAAGAACTGGAATGGATTGGTGAGCCTCCCGGGGTCCCAGGACCTGGGTTGAAATATAACCCATTTAGTTACTCAATTCAAGATCCATTTAGTAATGCTCTTTATCTTTTTCCTGGAGCAGGCCCCACTGAGCTAGGAAAGAGAAGGAAAATGACAGCTGAAGAAGCCCCATGGGCCAAGGATTTCTGGGAAAAGAAGAGAGATAAGCAGACTGCATGCGGTAGGGTTCTCTCAGGAACAGAACGGATAGAATGTATATATAAAAGAGAAGGTTTTCTAGAGTAACTTACAATGTGCTGGGTGGGTCTGCACAGCCCAGTCCAGTGTGACAATGGCTAGAACCTGGGAGCTGCTCAAGCCAGGTAGCTTGGCAGTTCCAAATCTGGAGCCTGGAGCGTCCTGCAGAGCTACTGGTCTCCAGTCCACATGGGATGCTGGAGAAACTGGACCCTGGTGTCAGTGGAGAAGGACGGCAGTCATAAAGACCAGGGCTCTCCCCAGCAGGAAGTGAAGGAAGGCAGGCAAGCAAACAGCCCTTTCCCCCTCAGACTTCCTTCTCTTTTGGCGATTACCACCCGCAAGTGCCGCCCACTAGGGGGAGGGGCTTTTTGGAAGTGTGCTTCTCAGTTGGGTGTAGCCCAAATTATTGGTCTTAATAAATAAAACGTAAAGTCCAATAGTGGCAGGTGAAGGCTGGAGGATCAGAGAAGCCGTGTAGCCAGTCACTAGAGAGACATTTTGCCCCTACCAATGTTCAGACGACATCCTGGGACTGCTCTGAGCTCCTGTCTCCTCCCACCTTATACCCCTCTATTCATCCAGCCATATCACTCCTGTCTCCGCCTCTCTAGTGCTGGCATTAAAGGCATGGGATCCTAAATGCTGGGACCACCTTTGTGTGGGCTCTGTTTCTCTTTTAGACTGGATCAATCTCGGGTAGCCCAGGATGACCTTGAACTAACAGAGACCCCTCAGCCACTGTTTCCCGAGTCCAGGGATTAAAGGTGTGTGCCGCCACTCCCTGGCCTCTGGTGGCTTAACTCTTGCACTCTGATCTTCAGGCAAGCTTTATTTATTAAAACACAAATAAAATATCACTACCGTTAGGTCAGCCAAACCATTCCTTTAGCTGTGCATTTTCAGATGAGTACAAGGTCCTAATTCTGCCTAAGATGATAGTTATCTCATGTACCACTGAAAACGTGTCATTCTTTTCTCGGAATAAGTGGCAAGATGCCTTGAGAAATGCATGGTCTTTTAGTATCCTACAGCGTAACTAGGGCAATATAAATTTAATTACATTCAATTACTGATATCATCTCAGTCATTACATTACAGGGTAAAGGAACAGAATGGGAAAAACCCACAAATGTTTGCTTAATATGTGTGCCTATATATTTAAACATATTCTTAACAAAGTTAGGAAAGAAACACTCATGGCAATAACAATCCCCATTTCTGTGGCAGGCCCCTACCTTCCTTACCTGGAATTTATAACTGTCTTCCACTACCCATTCCGTAGTCCCTCCACCTTCAGCGAGCACCTCAGCCGGTCTCGGTTCTTCACCTGGAGGAGGGATCCATATACTCCTGAAGGGTCTGGGTTGACAGGGTTGACTGATTTCCTGCCTGTGTTGAGTTGTTGTGGTTTCCCATTGACATTAATCCCAAGGTTCCTCTCTTGCATTTGATAGCTCTTCCTTACCTCCTTGGCAGAGAAACAGTCCCATTTCCCTTTGGCCTGGGTCAGTCGCCCCTCCTGTTTGTACTGTTCCTTCTTTTCAGCCTGTTGACTGCAGGACATAGGGAACTTAGAAGTCTTGGCTTCCAGCTCAGTGGGATTTCTCTTGGGCCTCCTGGGCACTCCCTCCCTCTCCTGGAACCAAGACTTCTAGGCCAGCAGAGCCCAAGCTAGAGGGAATAAGAAGCAAACGTTTGGCTGGTAGCTCACTGGGCATGAGGTGTCCTTTCCACCTCCACGTCTCCATCCTGGACTAGTAAACGCTGAGTGACAGGAGAAACTGTACACTGGGCACTGAATTGAGCATATTTAACCTGTGGGAGAATCTCAGCATTCCAGGCTGCTGCCACCTGGCTGGCTATACAACTGTGTCTTTTCCAGGGGGAACTGGGGATAAGTTCTTACTAGCCTATACTAATTACTTATAATGAGGGGAGTCATTATGACATTTCACACATGTGCAGAATGTATTTTGGTCATAGTCAGCCCTCTTCTCCTCCCCCGCCTCCCTCCTCTCCCACTAACACTCTTTCTCTTCCTCTCCTACTTCCAGGTCTCAGTTTTTCCCTCTGTGCCCCAGTGAATTTCACCAGGGTTTCTTTACAGGATTATGGGCACCTTTCCAGTGACTATACCTGAAGAAAACGTGCCTCCTTTCCCTAGCAACCACTAGCTGCCGGAAATAAAGTTTCAGGCAAGGGTGGGACTTCTCCTGGCTCTCTCCTTCCCTCGTGTTGAGCGGACAAGCCTAAAGTCACGTATATCTTGTCTGTGTCATCCTCACTGTCTTGAGTCCAAGAGTGTTTGTAACGACTGTTGAGTCATATCATGCCCAGAAGCCATCCCTCCGCATCCTCTCTGCCTCCCTTCCTCCAGCTCGTAGGCTTTTTTTCCACTCTCTTTTCTGTGACAGTCACTGAGTCTTGTATGAGGCTACATCGATGTCTCATTTATTCAAAGTACTTTGATCGGCTGTATTTCTTCAGTCACCACTGATCTCCGAAAATCCACTGACCAAAACTGATAACTACCGTCTTACGGACACAAGCAGTTCTTTAATGCTGCTTCTGCTTAGAATGGCAGTTTGAGGGGAACATCATGTCTTTTGAGCAGCGGGACTTCCCCATTGGGAAATACAGCTTCCCTAACCACAGGCTTTTGAATGTGAATTCCTTCCTGTCGGTTAACAACAAATCCTATCAGATGACTGTTGGCTCTCCCCTACCGCTATTGGACTGGTCAGTATTGTTGCACACAGTGTCCACAACTAAGACCGTGGATAACAATCTCTCCACCACCCCCCCCCCCCCCCGGCCCCTGCATTCTGTGTAGCACCTTCTGTACTATGAGAGACAGTCAGAAAGGAAGAAATTTTTTAGCCACATTCTGGCTTGATTTTTCTATGTGTTGTGGTCAAGGAATGGGGCTTCTTCATCAATCTGGTCTTACTATCTAGTACTGTGAGCAAACAGCAGCCCTGGCATGCTTTGTGCCCCTCCCTCGGGACTCACTGAGAAACAGCCCATGGGGAGGTATGGCATCCCTGACATAGGCTTTTGTTAAATCACTCATGACATCTGGGATCAGCATGTTCTACCTACGTAAGTTACCTCCAAACTATTAAGTTTATTTTTGTTGGCTTATGAAGCGTCGTGTTTTCTTGTGGTGTTTTCAGGCATCTTTATTGCTGGCTGACTCCTTTTCCTGTGTCCTGCCACAGCTCCTTATGCCTCTTCACGCCCAGCTTTCCTCTTTCCATTTTCATATCACACACATTCCGCTTCCACTGAAGGTGCCTTCCCCCCCCCCCTTTGCACGGAATCATTTCTAGTTTCCTGAAATTTACATAATTACTCTCACATAAATGCACACACACACACACACACACACACACACACACACACACACGAAGGGTTCTTCAGAGACCATTTATGTTTTGAATTTGTGTCCAGGGTATGTTACTGATTCTTCTGTTGCCAGGATTCAAAGATCCAGGGATCAAGATGTGGAAATGGGAATGGTACGTCTCATGGTTATCCCCAGCGAGCCATCAGCCAGATTTTGTTTCTTGTTCCTGGGAGCTTATGCTCTGCTGGCCTAGAAGTCTTAGCTCCAAAAGGGGGCATGCTTCTCCTAGGAGGAACAGCAGACACCCAGTGAACTGAAAGTTAAGACTCCTCACTAGCCACTTGGGGTTCCCAATGGTCTTGAGTCAGTGGGCTAAGAAGGTAACAACAGTATTAGGAGGATTGACTGGCCCAGACTGATGAAGGGTAATTGGATCCCTTCTCCACAGTGGAGGCAAGGAAGATTATGTCTGCAGTGCAGGAGGGCCTTTAGCAGGGCTGTGATTAAAGTCAGTGGGAAGCTACAACCCAGAAAGACAACATGATAAATGGCCCAGATCTCTGAGACCTTAAGGCATAGATCACTCCTCCAGGTAAAAAGCCACAACTGGCTGGGTTATGGTTGCAGTGCTTGCTGAAGACGGAGGGACTATGGAATGGATGGCAGAGGGGGGTGGTTACACACACCAGCTGACCACGTGTCCACTTTGATTGGGATTTTCATGAGCGCTTCTGTCCCATTTAAAAGGGCATGTTTGTGCATATGTACACTTATATTTGTATTTTCTTTCCTCTATTTCTTTTCTGTTTAGATTTTATCATATTGTATTCATTCGTGTGTGTGTGTGTGTGTGTGTGTGTGTGTGTCCATGTATCACAGAGCACAAGTTGAGGCCAGAGGACAACCTGAAGGAATCCCATATGAGTCCTAGTGTTTGAACTCAGGTCATCTATCTTGGCAACAAGTGCCTTTACCCACTAAATCATTTTTTTCCAGCCCTCCTCTATTTATCACTTAAAGAAATTACCTTATTTTAAAATTCCTACTTATGTGTATTTGTGTGCGTGTCTCTGTGTGTGTGTGTGTGTGTGTGTGTGTGTGTGTGTGTTGGAGCCGCTGAAGCTGTGGGTGTTACAGGTGATTGTGGATGTGGGTGCTGGAGAGAGAACCCAGTTCCTCTTCAGGAGCAGCAGATGCTCTTCCCCGCTGAGCTATCTCTACAGCCCCCTATTTCTTTACCATTTAGTGTAACATGGAGATAATATCAGCGGTTCAGTGTTGCAAATGCATAGTCTCATACCCAGGGTATGGGGCACCAAGAGACCAAACGTTCCCTAAGTGAGTTTGTCACCTGTTATGGAGGAGAAGGAATGATGTGCTTGTAGTTTTGTGAGGGACAGTTATATTCGGTAGGCAGAATTGTCACTGTTTTCATTTGGAAATCAGTCATGACACAAAGACACGTGACTGGGTGTCAAGTTGACAAGGGGTGGACGTCTAACGGTTAATCTTGGTTTTCAACTTGACTGGATCTGGAATCAACAGTTTTTAAAGGTAAGAAGCTAGGCATGCCTGTGAGGGATTTTCTCGACCAGATTGTTTAAAGTGGGAAGACCTGGCATTTAATGTAGGCAGCGCCTTCCAGTAACACCCTAGATATAAGGAAGAGGAAGAAGGCTGGAGAGATGGCTCCATGGTCAAGAGCGCTGGCTGTCTTCCAGAGGACCCAGGATCTCTTTCCCAGCACCCACATGGTGGCTCATACCATCTGTAATTCCAGTTCCAGGAGATCTGACATCTGCTGGCTTTTGTGGGCACGAGTCATATGCAAATTCTTTAGTGAGTATTACTTCCAGATTGTGATTAGATATTTTTCTTGTTTGTTGGAGAAGGCTTGCATGATCTAAAGATTATATTGATGGGAGTCCTTGGTTGGTAGGTCCCAGAGTTACTCTTATGATTCACTAGCCAAGCACTGCTGACTCTACCTCCTATCTCCACTGACCAGGGAGTAGCAAGGTTCACGTGGCAGTTTACCAAAGACTGGATGTACTTAACATAATCGATAGCACAGTAAACTTTAGCACTGGCTAAATTAATCTTTGTGTTCTACAAGTGAAGGGACTCCAGACAACAGAAAGAAAGGTTACTTTGAATTACTAAAATAGAGAATCAAGGTCCCCTCAACTCATTTCCTGTCCTGAGTCAGTTTAAAGACACCCCCTCAAATGAATGGGAGACCAGGACCCCTTGAGGCAGAAACTCCTACAATATTTGAAAGTTCCCCTCTGACTCTTTCTCTTTCCCTACGGGACCTAGAGATTTTTACAACGGTAACTTTACCTTAGAGAACAGGAAGTGATCAGACCTTCTCTAGTTCACAAGACGTTGCCTCTGAATTGTTGATGTTGATTTCCGAAGATCCCAGCAAGCATTGTGCCCAAAGTCAAAGAGGCTTGTGGAAGTCAGGTTGCTTATAGACTTCAGCCAAAGTCTGACTCACAGTGGGCCCAGTAACTCCCTAAACTTATCCTACGTGCACCCCAGAATGCCCAACTGGGACAGATAATCCCCACACTGATAACCCTATCTGCGGTTGGAAAATCCAAATACAAGCAAATAGCACTGCTCCTGTCAGGGAAAATAGTGAATAAAACCAAGATGCAAAGCCTGTAGGGTGACAGAAATTTGTGCCACCACCAAGGACTTGAAAGATGCAGGGATGATAGTTCCCACCATGTCTCCTACTTGTCCTGTGCAGGAGGGATGAATCATGGAGAATGAGAGTTGATAATCACAAATTTAATTACGCAGTGACTCCAATTGCAGCTGCTGGACCAAATGTGGCTTCCTTTCTTCAGTAGGCTAACACATCTTCTGGCACTTCTTATGCAAATATTGACTGACCAAGTGGTTTTTTTTTTGTTGTTTTTTTGTTTTTTTGTTTTTTCTTGACACCGTCCCACAAGAACCACCAGAGGCAATTTTCTTTCCGCTAGCAAGGCAAGCACCACATCTTTACTTTTCTACTTCAAGACTTCATTAATCCTCTGGTCTCATTGTTTTAACTTAGTTTGCAATAATCTTGGTACCTGTCTCTTCCACGAGTAATCACACTGGTCCATTGTATTGAGGACATTAGGTCTATTAGACCACGAGAACAAGAAGTACCAATCACACCGGGTGGTGGTGGCACACGCCTTTAATCCCAGCACTAGGGAGGCAGAGGCAGGCGGATCCCTGTGAGTTCGAGGCCAGCCTGGACTACAAGAGCTAGTTCCAGGACAGGAACCAAAAAGCTACGGAGAAACCCTGTCTTGAAAATCAAAAAAAAAAAATCACTTTGGACTTGTTGGTAAAGCATATTTGCATCAGATGATGGGAAAGAAATTTAAACAAACTTCAAGGATTTTTCTATCTTGATGAAACTTCTAGGAGTTCAGTGGTGTGAAGCAGGCAGAGATGTTCAGAATTTCCATTCTAGTCCACTGATCAATGCATTTGTTTTTATGTTAATGCCACGCTGTTTTTATTACTATAGTTCTATAATACAGCTTCAAATAAGGAATGGTGGTATCTCCAGCACTTCTCATATTGCTCAAGAATGTTTTAGCTAGCCTAGATTTTTGTGCTTCCATAAGAAATTTAAGATTAATTTTTCAATTTCTGCAAAGAATTGTGTCGGATTTATGGGGATTACATTGAATCTGTAGATTGTTAACCTGCCACAAGATCACTGGCTGGTCATCCCCAGATCGCTGGCTAGTCATCCCCAGGAAGGACACCATATCAAAGGCTCCTTGTTAATCTCAGCTGCTGACAGATTTGGCACTCACCAAGCACCACAGCAAGGCCAGCCTTGGTGAAAAAAGAGTCCTCATTATTTAGCCAATACATAGCCATCTCTGACACCATGGCCACTTGGGCGGGGATGGCCAAGGAAAGAAACTGACTGTCCACAGAGTAGGTCATTCCATCGACTTGATTGTTAAACTCCTCCTCTTCTGAAGTCATCTTTCAGTGAGCATTTATATAGCACAAAACTAGCTTCATATCCTTGCCTGTTTGGAGTAATATACCCGCATAGCCCTTCCCCAAATGTTTTTCACATCAGTTTTCTGATCATACTTCCAAGTCCCGGGCCATTCCAGCAAATCACTAGCTATAGTCCATGCACAAGTATATAAAGACATCTGGTCTTTTTGATACCAAACAAAATACATGATCGTGACAACGTGTACCCCCCAAAATTCTGCCTACTGTGATTTCCCTTCCCTGGTGTTCTTCACGTCTGCTCCAGAATGGCACAGCCATGTTACATGTATCCACTTCTGGGTAGAACCTGAATGCCATTCAGAGCCTTCGTAAACTGGGTCTTAGTCTTTCCTTTCTCAGTCAGTCAATCACAGAGCATATCCCACAAGGCCTAAGGTGCACGCTTGGGGCTGAAGGCATTATAACATAGTAGGAACCTCTTCATGTACCTTAGTTGTGGCCCCCAGAACCCGCTTGAACACTATCACATATAGAGTGCATTGCTGCTCTGCAGGTCCGTCATTGTGGTTTAGTGGATTGAATAATACCCAACTCATGATTGATAGCTCGTGCCACATAATAATTTTATGGGTTTGTTGTCAAATGCTCAGTTTCCACTAAGTAAGGTGTAATACCAGGCTGAGCATTGCTTATCAAAGGGAGAATAGCTATCTGCAGATAACAGTAGGACTTTGCCCCAAAATTCCCAGAGCCTGATAAGTAATATGGTGCAATTGGCCTAGCATCCTGCACAGCAGCCTGGACCTATGAAAACAACCTCTTACTCAAACCCAGCAGCTTTCTGAGACACTTGGTGTGGGTGCTGGAGTAACACACCCCACGTGGAAAATGTGCTGCCTCCAAAATCCAGATGAGCCCAGTAGGCATTGTGTTTCTTTCTCGGTGGTGAGAGGGGCCAGGCACATTAAACTGACCACTCAGCTTAGAAGAAATAGTTCTGCCTGGCCCGCACCACTGGATTCTTAGAAATTGCACTGAAGTAAAGGAGTCTTGAGTTTTGGTTGGATTTGTTGCACGTCCCCTGCTGGGCAATGAGTTCAGCGTGAAGAAGGGCGCTTGCTGTGCAAGGGTGAGAACCTCAGTTCAAATCTCGTGACAATTTTTAGAAAAAAATTAAACAAGGCACGGCCGGCCATACATGACTGCAGCCCCAGAACTGTGGCAACAGAGACAGGACGGGCTTGTTGGTTGCCAGGTGAGTGAAAACGCTGCCTCAAGGAAACGGCAAAGAGGACAATAGTAGAACACCTAACATTCTCCTCTGGCCTCTGCATTACACACAGGCATGCCCACACACACATGCAACACACGCAACACACGCACAGCTAAAATTTAAAAACACCATCTCATTAAACATACGCAATCAATCTTTATTGTATGAATGGCGCCTTCCTGTATAGGATAGGACACCTGAACTTCATCTGACTATTAAGAAATCTGGCAAACCAGCTTTCTACCCTCTTCCAGGGCCTTTGCTTACCCCGGCCTGCGATCTCCTGCAGCTTCTCATTGAAGGCTAAAAGAAAAACACAGGAGCAAGGAGGAGAGGCCTACAGTCACTGGTCAGCTTTACGCCTCAGGCCCTCCATCACTGTGTCTGTCCTTGCTCTCAGTTTAGGAGGGCAGCCCTCAAGTTAATATTTATAGATTTTGGACTTTTTTGCAGGTCTAGGAATTCTGTGGGAACTTTCAACCCAGGGCCTCGCGCCTGCTAGACAATCACTCTACCACTGAGCTGCATCCTCAGCTAATTCTGCTGAAGATAGAAACAGGTTTATCTGTAGGAGCATCGCCCACCACTGGACTAGTCAGTGAGTGGTATGTAAATAAGGGTTGGTAGTTTTGTACTGGAAATAGTTTTTTTTCCCCCTAGAAAATAGGACTATGCATAACTCTATGCCAACTAGCTGGTAGGAATCCCTTTATCAGTCCATTTGACAAACGGATAAGTAATCACTATCACCCTGGCAACCACCTTGGTTTCTGAGGATACAAAGATAATGTCTTTGCCATTCAAAAATGTAGGCATCACTAAGTGTCACATCCTGCACTACAGGATCCTTGAAAAGCGATGGGGTAGATGAGAGGATGAAAAAAAAAAAAAAAACAAATGACAGGTACTCCAGGCACACATACAGAAAGGCTGGGATCAAGTGAGTTGTGCTCGCTTTGATGGAGGGCACCTACTACCAAACCTAGCAACCCAATGTGTTTGTTTTATATATAATACCAAGTGGGGGGAGGCTGGCTCATCTTGGGGAGAGGTCTCTGTAGAGGAGCAATCTCAGGCTCTAAACATGTGGGAGAAGGAAGCAGGGGTGGGCTGATGTTCTCCGCACACTCTCAGCATTCACATGGATCAGTGGAAGGAAGGCTTGGCCATTTCCCTGTGCCTGACCTGGAGAAAAGCAGTTCTGGATGTGGAACTCAGAAGAAACTGCAACAGAGGTCCTCTGAAATGTTGGATCTCTGCTCCTAATGAAGATTTTTCATGGAATCTTCTTTGATTAATCCTCATTTTTTTTAAAACTCAGAATGAATCCAAAGCCTCTCATTTCCTGTGGAAACAAAAGCAAAACCTCTTCTCCAAAGTAATGTATCTTTTGACTTAAATTTTGAAGTGAAGGCATTTTCAAAATATATAGGTTGGATTAATCCAGCAGCATATATAACCAAATGTCTTTTAGTCTGTTGCTCCTTCCTCAGCTGTCAAACAATTCAAAGACAACACAGTAACATATAGTATCCAGATTCTCTGTGTATTTTCCATCTTTGCATGACTTTTTTAAAACTATTTTATTTTTATTATTTAATTTTTAGGTTTTTGAGACAGGATTCCTCTGTGTATCATTGGCTGTCCTGAACTCACACTGTAGACCAGGCTAGCCTCAAACTCAGAGATTCACCTGCCTTTGCCTTCCAAGTGCTGGAATTAAAGGTGTGTGCCACCACACCTGGTTACTCTATTTTTTTTAAAAAAAAAAAAAAACTTTCTGTCTTTTTCCTCTCTCTCAAACCTACATTTATTTTTAAACACACTGTAAACCATTTAGAGGTTTTTTTTTTTTTAATCTGAATCTGTCTTTACTGATATTTATCTTTTTCTGACCACGTGAGTCTCTAATCTGCTAAGTAATATGGCTAGGATTAAAGCTGCAACTTTGGCAGCTGGTTCCACACCATTTCTTCACTTTTTGAGAGTCTAGCTTCATGGCTGAGATACTTGCAGGAGCCATATTTATTGCTATAACTCTGTGAAGTTTCTAGGTCCATGCAACCACCAAGAAACCTGATGTTGCCTGCTCAT